TGCCCTCACCCCCCCCCCCCCCCCAACTGTGTGTATACTCAGCAGAGTGTTGCTAAGACAAAACTAAGTTGCTGCAGATGCCACACTGAAATTTAAAGGTCCAGCCCAAGGGCTAACACACGTGTGTTTTTCAGACGCCTCATCTGAAGCATGCAGGGCACTGCCCATCTGGAAATGTGGCAGAAGTGGCAGTGCCCTTGCCACGGAGCTGTGCCGTGCTGCGGTGGGTGCCTATCCCCAGCATGGCCAGACAGCACTGGGGCCACAGCCCAGGGTGCCCACAGGGACAGCTGGCCTCCCTCCACTCCCCTTCGCTGCCCTTGCCCAGGGTCTGGCTGCACAGCTCCTCTGGGATATAAACAGCCCCAGGGCCAGGTTTTTCTGGAATCCAGCTTGATTTAAAAAACAGTTCTGAGGTTGGAAGATGGCTTTTTTCGGTGTTTGTGAAAGGTAAAAAGTCTCCATATTCCAGAGCCAAATTATATCATGTGTTATGTACATATATAATATAATCATCCTGCAGAAATGAACCGTTAGAACAGGAGGCCCAGTGAGGTGTTTCAGTGAGGATGCTCCCCGATGCCAGGGCTCAGCCAGGGCTGTTTCCCTGCGGTTGCGTGGATCCATCACAGGGCAAGCACATGCCAGAGTGGTGTGCAGGCACCTGGGGCACACAGCTTCAGAGCCGTGTCTCTCAAACACCGTGGTCATTGCTCGCCTGAGAGCTGAGATTTTGGCACACACCAGAAAATTAAGCTGATTTTTTTAATTTTTATTTTGTTTGTTTGAGGGTTTTTTTTTTTTTGTGGTTTTTTTTTTTTTTTTTTAAATGTCTAGTTTTCACTCCTGTGGGTGATACCTGGTTATTGCAGTAGGCTGTGTTAGAAAAAAGAGGGAATTGCTGTTTGCAGCTCCCTGTTTCTGGAGAAAGCAGGATCAAAATGCTGGGTGTTACCTTACAGACATTGCTCTCCAGGGAACCAGACTCTGTCCCCCACCACTGTTGGGGACAATGGTACCAGCAGCAGTGCTCAGAGCACTGTCCTCAGTTACGAAGGCACTACGCTGTGGCCACTGTCTTCTATCAACTGCATCATTGTGGCCTTCGTCTTTTCCAAGGGAAAGCCCTTCCGGAAGCCCATCTACACCAACTGTGAGTAGAGCTGGAGTAATGTGTACTCTGTAGACTCCTGTTCCTACCCCAAAATAAGCCTGGCAGGAGAGGCTGCTGGGACAGGGATGCTGTGGATGTTTCTGTACCCGGTCCAGTGACTGGCATGTAAAATAATAGTTGGTGTATGTGAGCTCCTAGGTCTCCATCACAAAAGCTCGGTGAGTGCTGCTTGTGTTACCTTCTTCCTTGAGAGAAGAAGCAGCAGAGCTGAGACAGGAGACTGCATCTTGTTTTGGGAAATGTGTGCTTTGCAGAAGATGACAGGCTGGATTTAGTGCATAACTACGTATTATTGTGAACACAGCATATGAGGATCAGATGTACTTGTTTCAAAATACACACATCAAAAAGAGTTCCTCTGAGATTCACAGTCTTACCTTGCCTGGCTTCCATTCCTAGAGATGAGAGAGAAAAGCCTGTGATAGTATCCCTGTTAAAATCCTCCCACAATAGCCTTTCTTTTTCTGTTTGAGTTTTGCAGAGATGACTTAGCCCTTCTAGCCATTGGCTGACTGATGGCTCCTTTGCAATTGCAGCTCATGGATGAGGGGGCAGGACTTTGCTTCATCTTAGCAGAGTTGTTTTTGTTAGGTATTTTGTTAAATGGCAGGTCCCAAACCCATTTCACAGAGCATTGATCACCTGCAAAAGAGACCAGAAAGAGCTGCCCTGCAAGCAGCCAGGCTGAGACAGGACAGAGGACTCTCAGCTGAGAAATCTGCACACACTTCTCCGTGTTTTATCCCTGTTTGGGGACAATCCCTAGGCGGAAGCAAAGGGCAATTCCCTTGGTTTTTCCACCTACCCTGTCACCTCTCCTCCTTGGCAGTGAGAAGGTGGCCAGGAAGCTGTTGAGAGCTGTGGACAGCTAGTTTTAAGATGCTCAGCTCCTGGTAGTTGCCAGGATTTTGGCACCTCTGAACATCTGAGCCATTTGCATCGCTCTGTGGCCTCCCGCTCTTTTGGAAGAGGATGCAAAGCCAGACAAACTCTTCCTGTGGAAGGCAAGGGTATAGCCTGTCTTTGCAGCCTGTCAGTCGCAGGAGCACCCAGCCCTCCCTGGGAGGGCACCCCATGGGAAGCAAGCAGCTGCCTCTGCTGTCTGCGGTCCAGACATATGGTGAACACGCAACCTAGCGTGGCTCACAGCAGTGCCCCTTCAAGGCAGTTTTCTGTGGTTTTGTAAGAATCAGAATGTACCAAATCACTTGTGCAAGAAAAAACGGTGTAGGTGGTGAGCTTTGCAACAGGCTGCTGGGGAGTAGCTCCTCTAATTTCAATTCCACAGCTCTTCTTTTAGGGGAAAAAAAGAAAAAGAAAGGCATTTACATGATGGCAGTTTTACAGCATTAGCATTTGAGGCTCCTGTCAGCATATTTGCAGAGTTTGGTCGCCAACCCCCCTGCCTCCCAGGGCCACAAATGTTCTTCTTTCTCTAGATTTATTTTCAGTCCTCCTGGCCCTCCAGCTTGCAGTCTGCCTCTTCTTCCTCTTTGCTGACATCGATGCTGTGTACAGGGACATGCAGGTAAGTGCAAAAGGAACGTGTGTTTCCTTTCATGATAAATATTTTGCTGGCCCTTCACCTAAGTGTACAGAGCAGAAGCTACAGCTCTGGTCATCTTGTAAACAAATTTGCTGATCCGATGCTGACTGGGCAGCCCTTTCAAACTCCTACATCCTTCAACTCTAACATCGTTCTGACATGGGCTTGATCAATGAGGTAGTCCTCTCCTCTGAAGACTGGGTGGCAACAGGGTGAAGAAAAACTGCTTATAGCTTGAGCTTTTCTTCTTAACAGAAAAGCACAACGGGGTGGATTGTGGTTTTGCAAGTTGGAGGAGGCTTGTTGGCCAGAGAAGCGAGAGGGCAGGGATTGCTGCCCTCCCCCTGGGCACTCAGCCAGGGCACAGTGTAGGCAGCTGCCTCCAGCTGGACTGCCAACATGGGGAATGGCTGAGCCCTGTAGCTTGTCCCCAGCCATTCTGCGTGGGATGGATTCCAGGGGAGGCCTGGCATTAGGGCCGGCACATCCAGAGGGAGAGGAGCTGCATCCTGCCCCAGGCACCTGATGTGCAGGTTTCAGCAATAGCTTCAGTAGCCAAGATGAGTGAGGCAGCTCTGTGCCGTGGGGAATCTGGCATCAAACCTTCCAAGATCTCTGTGACAAGGAATTACTGTCACTTCCTACTCCCTCCTCCATGCTTGCCACTGGGAATATGTTAGTCAGCCTCTCAAAACATTAGGAACAGACGCAAATCTTGGCAAGGCATTTAAACCTAATTGCTCTTCATGTCTTTTCCAACAGTTTCTTTGCACTCCTATGATCTGGAGAGTTTACATCTTAGTGATGCTCTTGGTCACCTTTTGCATATCTTTTTTTACTGAGGTGAGTGCATTTGTTTACCGCCTGTTGCCCCAGGGTGAGCAGGAGCATTGTCTGGTTGGGTCTTTGTCCCCCTGTTTGCAGCCAGGCTCTCCTCCTGCAGAAGTATAAGCTCTCAGGCCTTTTTTTTTCTGCCCCTTAAGACTCAATGCATGTCAATCAAATCCATTTTATGCAGAGACTATTTAGACCACATCTCTTAAGCCTTTAGAGAGAGAGATCGAGCTGGAGCGCAGCTGCCCCGAGAGCGCTGCCCTGGCTGGCAGCAGAGCTGCCTGCAGCACGGGTCAGGCGCTTGGCAGTGATTTTAAAACTGCTTCCCTCTTGCCCTACAATTGATCAGGCCAGAGACCGTGCTGGCTTGTGCAGTTGGCTGTTGCAGTAATGACTAAGCACTGAGGTGTTCTGTGGGTCCAGGCTGGCTGTGTCACCCCCGGCGGGGGCATGAGCTGCGTCCAGCACCAGGCATTGTCTCCTGCAAGGAGCAGCAGCACCCAGTCATCCCACAGCCCCAGGAGGAAAAACATGCCCCTTGATTATCCCCTTCAGCCAAACAGACTGAGAGCAGTGTTGTCCTGATGCAACTGAGCAAGGACAGTGGCACCTGGCAGCCATGTTACCGAAAGGGAGCGCACGCAGCCGCCCAGTGCTGTGCTCCCCATGGGGCTCAGGGTTGCACATGTAACAAGGGATTGCTTTATTGCTTTTGTCCCCGAGCGGTCCTCCCTCCCCATGAAGGGCAGCAGCACTGACCCCATGCCATGTCACTCCACAGGACGTTATCTTGCAGAACAAGCGCCTCTGGCTGCTGCTTAAAGCCTGGTTTGGGTACGAGTCGAAGAGCCAGTACCGACAATGGCAGAGGATGCTGCAGAGGGATCCCAGCTGGCCTCCTGTAAATGCAAAAGGCTTTGCAGCAAAAAGCACAGATGAGATTTACATTAACCCCACCTACGAACACCGCAATGAGGACTAGGCGAGACCCTGCAGCTGGGCGCAAGGCTGCGCAGTGCTGGCAGCTTCCCTGGCTTCCACATACAGCCCATTTTCATCCTTTGATATGCACCAGATTCAGAGGTTTGAAATCACTGCACAAACTCCTCCATTCAGGGGCAGACTGGGCCCGCAAGGGCTGTGTCCTGGAGCACAGGCAAGGATTGTTCTCTCAGCTGCTGGTAGAATAACAGCCTTGACTCTGCTCCATGGCAACAGCAGGTCTCGGGCCTTGCCAGTATCTCCTACAAAGGCTCAAAAATACTGAATACAGGGAAGCGATGGCTTCTGCTGCTCCACGTCACACTCCTACTCCATGTTTCAGACACTGCTCTGCCAAATCCTGTCAATGCACCCACTGGGCATGATGGGAAGGCAATCCAAAATAAGTGACCTAATCTTGACTGCACACAGGAGCACGCTTAGAATTGCAAAATCTTGCACTAAACAAAATGCTGCAGCTTCTGAGAACTACAGGAAAGCTCCCCAGATGAAGTAATTCCCATTTTCTTGCATCCTGGAGAGAATTACAGATGTAAGAGGGCACATATGCTGTCCTGGCCATGGTCTCTCTTGCCAGTTCTTGCAGACATAATGCTCTGAGTACAAGAAAGGTTAAAGCTCAAGGATTGCTGTAAGACCAGTTTGGGAAGGCTGGCAAGGATCTGCCCCACTTAAGCTTGCAAAGGCAGAGTACAGCACAGCTGCTGCATGTGTGTACGCATGACTCCCCCCCAGTTTGTGCTGTGCCGCTGCCAGAGCCTGGCCCAGGTTTAGTGTCACATGGCAGAAAGCAAGGATAAGCCTTGGCTTCTTGCTTTAATTAGGTCATGCCAAGAAGCAGGGGTTTTAACGTGCTCTGGCGCATGGCTGCCGGACAGGGACCAGAAGCTGAGCCCCTCTGTACTTGCTCTTTCATCTTCAAGTTCAACCACCTAATTAGTTTAGCCATGAAAGAACTCCTGACTATATTAGCAGGAAGCAAAAATTGACTTTCAGGTTCAGTTTTATTATAATATGTTTTCCCATATTAAAAAAAGAACTTTATTTAAATGTAAGAACAGAGGGCACTACAAAATATGACCAGAAGTCTTGGCTTTGTTATTTCAAACACTGAAACAACTGATGTTAAAAAAAGCTTCTGATCCCGTTATGTACATGTTAAGAGCAGACAAAAATAGCAAGCCTCTTACAGACAGCTGTTTTGCTCTCATCTCTTCTTACAGTCCAGGCAGTTGCCTGTAGCAAAAGCAAAAGAGGATTCAATTTCTTACATGTGATTTGCAAATAACATGGTTCCAAACATTCAAGCCAGATACACCCGGTAAAGAGTAATAAACCACACTTTTCCAAACCACTTTGCTTCTAAGACATACCACGCCAGCTTTGTGACAAGGAAATAGCGGGGTCTGTAGATTTGGAGATGGGGCATAGGTGCTGCACAGCTCATTCTCCAAGTGCATCACCCACGGCACTGCAGGGACCCTGGCTTTGTCTTCCTGCTGGCTGGAGGACGATCCATCTGCTGCTGGGGTTACAAACTGCTTAAATTCAACTTCTGGTCGCTGAAAAGCCAATGGCCCTAGCTGCAATCCACAGTGGGCTTTCTTTAAACCTCAGTGCTTTGGCAGACCAAGGAGTAGAATCATAAATGGTTTGGGTTGGAAGGGACCTTAAAGATCATCTAGTAAGCTTGAGCAGGTCCAATACCAACAACTACTGCACTTATGGAGATGTAGAGGGACATTTCAGTGGCACAGTGGTCCCAACCTGGAACAAACAGCTGCCAGAGGAAAAACTAGCTTGGTTGTTGTCAGATCCCCCAGACTGGGGTCTGCTGCTCCCAAAGGGAGTCAGAGGAGCCAGGGAAAGGGACGCCTTACAGGCAGGAGAAAACCACAAAACACCATCATGCCAAAACCAGAGTACTCATTTAAAACACGAGAGGATACAGCCTGTAAGACCTGCCCTTCCTTCCTAGCTCCTGCTCTTTCGCAGGAGCTGCTTAGTTTAGGCACCGCCAGCACAGGCTCCAGGACACAGCATGTGCCTCCTCTGCCCTTCTGCAGAGCCCAGGAACCTGGGGCTTTCTGCTTGCACAGGCTCTCAGCTCAAGGCCACACAATAAACCCTCAGCAGTACTTTTACATGACTTTTGTTTTGGGGATTTTTTGTTTGTTTATTTTTTTTTTTTTTAAAGTAAAACTGTTTCTTCATGTGGGTTAGAACAGGTTATTCACAGAAGGAACCTACAGGATATAGGTGATAAAACCAGGATGTGTGTAGAAAGCCTGCACCAGCCCTCAGCAGAGCACTGGGGGTGTGAGGATGGAGAATTTGCTTGCAAGTGCTCCCAGACTACCACAAAAATCATCCCAGGCAATTAAATAAAAGCAGATGTGGCAAACAGGCTAGTGCTGCTCTCAGCATGGGCAACACAGTCGTTAGTAAGTCTCAGTGGCAGGGGCAGCCACAAAACGAACCCCGCCCCAGCCACAAACTGTCCCAGGTCCCTCCTGGCTGAGGGCTCCCTGCCCTGCTCCGAGCTCATCCCACAGCCCATCAGTACTGTCTCTCTCTGGATCTGCTCCGGAGCAAGCCCAGCAAGGAGAAGGCACCAGCAGCAGCTGTTACAAACCCAATGGCACCGATTGCTCTCTTGGCCTGCAAAGGGGAAGTAAAACACAGGCTGTAAACATGATGAACTTTATTTTTTCGCCCCCAGGCATGCTAATGAAGAGCAGGCAGGGATAATCAAGGCAATTAAATGAATGAGAGACACCTGCCCCATAAGCAGAAGGGGTAACACCCAGGCTTTCAGCCTGAGGCTGTAGCATTTGGTAAGAGAACACTACCAGGGTGCAGACAGATCCTGGTGAACCTCCTGGTCCAGGGTGTCCAGCGAGGCCAGCGGTGGTGAGGGTCTGGACCCCATGCCTGGGGCTTTGCTGTTGCTGTGCAGTTTGCAAGCTGTGCCCTGGTCCAGGGGCTGACGCGGAGCAGCAAGGAGGTGCGCTGTGAGGCACGCAGGGGCTTACCCCGTGTTACTTACCTGGTCGGAGACACCCTCCCCATAGCGGAGCAGCGTCACGAAGTGCTCGCAATTGTTGCCGAGTAGATCGTAGGACACCTCCTGGTCGATGAAGTACTCAGCACGCCGGATGATGTCCTCCACCGGGAGGGGAGCGTAGGTGCCATCATACTTGTTGTTGATGTGGTAGGTGTCATTTCCCACCACATCTTTCAGGAGCTGCATCCTCACTCGGGCCTTTCTGCTGAACACTGACTTGGCGCTGGAGAACGTGGCTGGGGGCCCTTCATCTGGGGAAGGTGGGGATGAGATGAGCCAGGAAGGCCCCATCTGGCCCCCCTGAGACCTCGGAGGAGTTTCTGGGTGGCCTCTGGAAAGGCCACCTACACACACAGAGTCCACTGCTGGCCAGTGGAGGGAGGCAGGGCTCCCGGGTCACCCCAAAGTGCCCTCTGCACCCTGCCGGGCTGCACCAG